ACATTAGCTCCTACAGCTGCCTTGATTGATAGCTCGGAGGCTATTCAGTTGTTTCAGACAGAAATGCCAACTCTGCTCACTTCCTGACTAGTGACACAAGAGATTTGTCTTTAAACGCGAACGCACATCAGGAAATGAAACAAGATTATTTGCGCTGTGCTGCGGAAAATCATACAAGTGAGAAAACATTATTTTTAGATAACACTATTTCCTAAGTCTTTAATGAGAACTTACAAATTTGTCTGCTCTGTGTCAGAATATCAACACGCATGGTTCATATTCCTCACTATCATGGGCACTATTCACTTGACTGTCTATATCTCAGACACTGGCTTTCAGCATTGCTAACCCAATATCTCATTATCACTTTAAAAATGCCGGTTGTGAGCCGGGCAGTGGTGGCGCACACCTTTTATCCCTGAACTCAGGAGGCAGAGGCAGGTGGATCTCTGTGAGTTTGAGGCCAGCCTGGTCTACAAGTACTAGTTCCAGGACAGTCTCCAAACCCTGTCTCGAAAACAAAACAAAACAAAATAAAACAAATAAACAAAACAAAACAAAACAAAACAAAAATGCTGGTTGTGTAGGATATACCTTTAATCCCAGCATTCAGGAGGCAGAGGCAAGCCCATCTCTGTGAGTTCAAGGCCAGCTTGGTCTACATTAGTGAGTTTCAGGATTGCCAGGGCTATGTTGAGAGGCCCTGCCTCAAAAAACTACAAGAAGAGGCTGTGAGCATTTCTATTGACTAGAAGGAGAAATAGGCAAGAAAATCCTTCAGGAATGTGCTACGCAAGAAGAGAGGCTCAAGGCAGAATCAGAGAGCCCGTGAGTGGCACAGCAGAGGGGCTCTTGTCCAGGGCTGTCTCGGTATCAGCCTCTTCCTAGGAACGCTGTGTCAGCACTGCCAGCCTCTCTCAGTTGCCAATGTAACCTCTTTTCTCTTGTGCTTCAGGGAGGATGCTCTTACGGTCAGACCACACTTGATGAACGGTTGTAGAAATGGACTGCTAGGGCAAGATAGGCTTTTAGAGAGGACCGGTTCCAGACCCTCAGGTGTTGGAAGACTTACTCTGTCTTTTCAAAAGTTTATTTTAATAAGCATGGGCGTTTTGCCTGCATGTTTGTACACAACATTAATGCAGTGCCCCTGGAGGCCAGGAGAGGGCGTCTAATCCCCTGGGACTGGGGCTATAAATGGTTGTGAGTTGCCATGTGGATGGTGGGAATCCAGTCTAGGTCCCCTGGAAGAGAAACCAGTATTCTTAACTGCCAAGGCCTTTCTCCAGCCCCAGAATTACTTTGACTTTTGTGTGAAGTCATTAATTTAAAAGGCTATTTGACCACCTAGACTCAATGGGATCTTAGAATTAAGCCTTGGAATCCGTGTTACACATATAAAAGCTTTCTCTAAAGGTCTGTATTTCTAAGCCTATTTCTATTGATGTTGTTGAGGAAAATATATTTATGACAGGTAATATTTACAAATTAAAATTACTCAGTTGCACACAGAACTAAGGCAAAAGAACCATGCATTAATGACTGGTAACAAAATATGCAAATGGAAAACCTAAGATGCCTGTTGTTCAGCTACCAAACTAGTATGGCCAACCCCTGGTTTGGAGACTCTTCTCAGAAGTGACCCTTAAGAGGCACACGTAAGAAATGAAGCATCAAAATGGGCAGAGGTGGCACCCACCTTTAATTCCAGGACTTGGGAAGCAGAGACAGGTGGATCTCTGTGATTTCAAGGCCAGCCTGGCAGTTCCAGGATGCCAGGGCTACACAGAGAAACTGTCTTGAAAAACCAAAATAAATAGATAGGTAGGTAGGTAGGTAGGTAGGTAGGGTAGGTAGATAGATAGGTAGGTAGGTAGATAGATAGATAGATAGATAGATAGATAGATAGATAGATAGATAGGTAGATAGATAGAGGAACAAAGAAAGAAATGAAATGTCTTAGTCCCAAATTCAAGCATATACTACTTTCTTGAGACTATTTTCCTTAATATTTTATTATTTATTTCTTTTTTATGTGTGTAGTTTACTGATGTGTTCCCATGGGTGGAAATACATGTGCTTGTAGGTATATGGAAACGTACATATAGGTTTATATGTAGGTACATATAGAAGAAATCAGGTCTTCCCTGATTGCTCTATGAGACAGTCTCTGAGCCTGGAGTTCAGTTCTGCCTGGCTGGCTGGTCATTGAGCACTGGGGACTCCTGTTGTCTTTGTCCCCATACTGACGCACCGTGCTGGGGCTACACACGTACAATGCTGCTTTCAGCTTCTTGTATACTGAACTACGGTCCTATGTTTACACAGTGACCCTGAGAATTCTGCAGAGTTATCGATCTTGAGCCGGCTTTAGAAAACGGTGTGTTATCGGGGACATGCATGTCACAGCTCACCTCTGCATCCTGTGGGGTGAATTTTATGGGATGGGAAAAACTGACCTCACATGAACTATCTGACCTTCCCTTCTCCTCTAGACAGCTGCAGCGACAAACAAGCCACTAGACAGCTCTGACCAATAGAACAGCCCTTGCATATCTGCTTTTCAGCTAACACACTGGCACGCTGGAGCTGACAAAGGGGCCATGAAGGACTGCCGGGCCAAGCCTGCTTTTCTTCATCCTTGGTAGTTAGCCTGTGTGGCTGCCTTCCCAGGATTTATGTGACAGAAGAGGTTGTTTCCAGCGCACACACACACACACACACACACACACACATACACACACTCTGGTGGTCAGGGTGAGCTCAAAAAGAAATACGATTTGTGGGTTCTGAGCTAGCCAACGGAAAAGTGTCTTCAGAGTAAGTACAGCAGACACTGGACTCCGCTGGATCCGCGGCCTTTCAGCCCCTTTTCACAGAACTGCAGAAATCTTTTGAGATTTCTGACTTACACTTGCTGAAGCCCTTAATTCTTATCTCAAACACAAGTCCTAAGAAAGGAGCAAAGAATAGATTACAAGCTATAGTGTCTACAAACTGAACAAGCTTCATTCAACAAATGAACTTCACTCAACAACACCCAAACGAGGCCTGGCCATATGCCAAGTTCAAGGTCTCCAGCTAGGGCCTCTCACACCTGTTACACAGTGAAAAATCCGACTCTCTACTTCCTGCCAAAGACTTGGAAACCTAAATAAAGGAAATACGATGCTCTCTTTACAGAAAATAGTCAAAATGAGATAAAGAGGCTACGATTTAGACCAACAAGGAATCAGCTGACTCTAGCTCACAGGCTCAAATTATGCATCGCTCTCGCGTTTGTACGGCCCGTGAATGGAGAGTAGTTAACATTTTTAAATAAAGAAGGTGAGGAAGAGGAGAGGGAAGGAGGAACAAAAGAAAAGGAAGGAAAGGAAAAATATTTCATGATACACGAGGATTTATGTAATATTCAAACGTCGTTTTCCTAAATCAAGTTTTACTGGAAAACAGCCATGTTTCTTAGTTCTCCTACCATATGAGGCTCCCTTGACATTTGGAAAAGGTGCATTTCCTGCAGTGGAGACCATGTGTACGTGACCTTTACAGAAAACGTGTGCCAATATCATTTTAAATTTTAAAGTATTTCTTTCTGTTCAGCTGAAATAGTTGACTGAGAACACACACCTCAGGTTTGGTTAGGGGACATTTATAGATTTAAAAACCTTTAAACATAGCAAGATGCATGCACTCCATGGGGAAGAAACAGGATGTGTTTGTGCACGAGCAGGAACCCCCTCCTGCACAGACGAGTGTAGGGACCAGAAGCTGACTCGGTGCCTTCTTTAGCCACTGCCCTTACTTCTTTTTGAGACAGGGCCTCTCACTGAACCTGGAGCTCCCCAGACTGACTGACAGGCGAGTCCTAGGGATCCTCTTGTCTCTGCCCCTTTCTGCCCTGGCTCTGGAGGTCCAGACACACAGTTGGTGCTGTGCTTTTTAAACCGACACTGGGACTTTGAACTCAAGCCCCATGCTTGCACAGTAAAGGTTTTATTGCCTGTACCATTTCCCCAGATCGGATGTCTATTTCTTGTGGATGTTAATTTTCTGCCTTTATCCTGAGGTCAGAACATTGTGCCTTTTTCTTTTCTTCTTTCTTTTCCCGCTGGCTGGAGGTGGGTGGGTGGGGGCTGTAACTGCCCTCGTGTATGTCGGGCAGATGTCTCGTCACTAAGCTATAAACGCCAGATCTTGTATCCACACAACTTGACGTTTTGCTTTCTTGGCCACATAGTCATTTATTTTACAGACAAACCTTGATCCTGGAGAATGGGCTATCCCAGGAGACGTTGATAAAACAAAATCCTGGAAAATGTCTGTCTGTGGACAGCTAGTTCTGCTGAGGGCCAGCTACAGTCCCCTGTGCTGTGAGGGCTCCATGTGGATCATGAGAGACCAGGGACAATTTCAGCCGTGGTGTCCTGAGAACACCTTAATGAACGAATGGCAGGATTCAAGCTAACAGCTCCACAGGACTGCTCAAGCTGCCCTCAATGGTTAAGTCTGGTTTTGTTTTTCTCAGCATAGCATCTTTCCATGGAAGGCAGACAGGAGTGGTGTTTCTATACTGCTAATAGTTTGCTTAAACACATCTCCCTATATGATTGGAATTTCTCCCTTGAAAGTCAGAGACTAAACTGAGAGGAAAAAAGACATGAGTCTACATACTCATTAGAACTGCCAGGTTATATGCACCCAAGTTTACACCCAAGGAGTGACTTCCGGCTCCCCAGAGACACATGAGAACAATGGCTGTGTCGAGACCCTGGGTTCTAAGTTCAGCTTTTCAGTAACTCAGAGGAGGTTCATTTAGTAAGAATACTATCCTCACTACCACTGTGTGTCCCCTGCCAGGCTGCCTGTTGACAGCACCACAGCCAGACCTCATTAATAATATACACCATCCTCCTACAAGGTACACGCAAGGAAGTTTCTTTAAATAAAAAAGCAACAAATATATTTTTAAGCCAATAAGAGAACAACCCCTGGGGACTCACCTAGAGAAATCACCTTTTGCTTCCTGTGGAAGAAAAAAAAAAGAAGTAAAACATAGATCGATCGTTAAGAGTGAAAACTTACGTCCTGTGATCATGGCTACTTCCCTGCTGAGTAAGAGCAGCTTCCTACTGCAGCCACCCTACTCCCTCTGGAATTCAATGACGAGGGATGCTAAGCCAGAGGTGGGAGAACATTCCCATAACTGTAATTCCCGGCACTTGAGATGCTCAGGCGGGAGGATTCTGAGTTTGAAATTAGCCTTGGTTGCATAGTGAGACCCTGTCTGATTGGCCAGAGTCAGGGAGAATATGTACATGCGTCACCTGACTAGGAGACACAACGCAAACTTTACAAAGTTATTTATAAGTTTATATTTCATGGCCCTGCTCTAACTAAATTAGGATTAAGACTTCTAAACTGAGCACATATCTGGATAAAATTTTTTTTCTCTCTCTTTTCCCCTCTTTCACTTTCCCTCCCTCTCTCCTCCTTCCCTTCCTCCCCTCTCCCTTTCTCTCCTTTCCTCAGACATACACAATTATCTCTCTCCACCACCTTTCCTTCCCTCCTCCCTCCTCCTCTTTTGCCACTCCCTTTCTTCAGTTCCCCCCATTCCTCTTTCAAAACATCCCCCATCTCTTTCCTCCCCCTCTCATCCAGTCCCTTCCATCCTCCCTTCCTTTTCCTTGAGGCAGCTGCAGTCTGCCCTCCTGGCCCAACCTCCACAGCAGCTGGGATTCCAGGTGCATGCCACTGTGCCGGGATAGGACAGTCTACTTCTCCTGTCCCCTTTGAATGTGAGCTCTTTCCTCACTGCACCAAAGGATTGGAAGTCAGAGGCCATGTGAACATTTGGTTTTTCTCAGGGCAAAAGAGGGCACCAAGCTTTAAGAACGTGGGAACTGGAGAATCAAATGAGTGCAGATTAAACACATAACTTTCCTCCAAGGTCTCATGATAAACAGTATTGAACTTCTGAAATAGTGCAAACCTCTAATATGGTCATGGCATCAGCCTTCCTAATACCTCCTTCACCCGTGACTAGAAAATGTCAGAAAGCCAAACAGGGGACCCAGCAGCCGCATTGCCTTTGGGTGTACGTAAAGCAACTCACCTGCAAAATGTAGGAAGCCAGTTCAAACACCACTTCACTGTCAACATCAATAAGCTCCTGAAAGGGAAAAAAAAATCAAGGTGAGTCTTATGTTTCATCTACTTAGTTTTGAACAACTAATTAATTAAAAACTTTAAAAATACAGATCTTGCCGTATAGTCCAGGCTGGCTTCAAACTCACAACCTTCCTGTGTCTGTCTCCCAAGTGTGCAGATTCTAGGCATGTGTCACTGAACTCTGTAATGTGGCACTAAACAGCTTCCTTACAGCATCTCCCATGGAAGAGACCTGGTCTTTCTTGGGAGTTCCCCAGATTCTCCAAACTTTTAGAGTGTCTTTGGTGCTTTATACAGTTCCTCCAAGTGACTCCATCCTGAACACTCCCCAAGATCTTTCCAAAGAAGCCTGTACATCGTCTTCAATTCTGGATGAGGCAGTCGGGATGGACTGTGCCCAGCTTTGCAGACACCTGCTCATGCATGCAGAAGGAGTGTGTGTGTGTGTGTGTGTGTGTGTGTGTGTGTGTGTGTGTGTGTAAGGGGGAGTAGGGAGAGAGGAAGGAAGGGAGAGAGGGAAGCACAGTGGGAGAGTAGCCAGTACTCCCAGCCACTATACCATCTCTCCAGCCACAAACCTGCTCATCTTATTCATCACAGGAATACAGCTGCTCAGTAGCCAAAGTTACATTTTGAACTTTTCTCTGTGATAGGGTCTCATGTGTAGCCCTGCCTGGGTGGCCCAGAGTTCAGACCTGCCTCTGCCTCTTAAGCACTGTGACTCAAGGGCTCATAACCCTGTCCAGCCCCATTACAGTTTCTTTCCAGTTTCTGCCTTAGCACTGGTAGTGAGGCTTCACTGAAAGAAACGTTACAAAGGGATCATAACTCGGCTGGAAGGCAAACAAGGCAAGACCAAAAGTGCAGCTCTTCAGGGGCACCCAGCATGCTCTCTCATGTGCTCAGAGCTCAGAGTGGCTAGTGGCTCTCACATTACTATATATCTATAATGTTTTTTTTAAAAAAACATATTTATTTATTATGCATACAATGTTCTGTCTGCATGTACACCTACAGGTCAGGAGAGGGGGCCAGATCTTACCACAGATGGTTGTGAGCCACCATGTGGTTGCTGGGAATTGAACTTGGGACCTCTGGAAGAACAAGCAATGCTCTTAACCACTGATCCATCTCTTCAGCACTACCTATAATGTTTCTATCTTAATGAAGGTTTTTTTAGTCATTGCTAGTCTGGTGTTTAATTTTAATATTCTTCTGTTCTTTGAGGTCTTCATCAGTTGGTTGCAATCTAGGAGCATGACCTTAAAAAAATAAAATCTTCTTTGTTTTTGAAAAACTAAATCCAATGTAATTAGACTCTAAGTAGGAGCATTCCCATCAATGCCAGCATGTGTTCACTCTAGTGGTCCAAGATGACATCATCTAGTGATGTCATAGTCACCGTAGTTTGTATAAATGTACTTGGTGCCTGCACAACAATAAAACTACTTCCCACATCTATCAGAGTCCTCCCTGCCATGAAGCGGCATTGGCCTGGGTTCCTATGTCTGTAAGAACAGCACCACCGAGGCACTAATTCAAACATGTGCAAAGGTCTGTGCGTTTATCATATCAACATGATGGCTTTGGAGGCAGGCCTACCCACTGAGACACCATCACCACAATACATCTGCCCATTAGTCCCCAAAAGATCTATTTTTGTGATAAACACTTGACATGGCCCTCCCTCTTAATGAACTTATAAGTGAGGGATGCCATATTATATGTAACCTGTTAGAGACAAACTCAGGTCCATTAGCATGCAACAAGACGTTAACCCGTGTCATTTTCTGTTGTCAAGATTGAGGAGAAAGCCTGTCCTTCCTCTTTCCTCTCTCACCACTTCCTTCTCCTTTTCTTATTTCAAATAGGGTCTCACTTGATAGCTCCCGTTGGCTTTAAATGATGGGCATCCTCCTGCCTCAGCCTTCCAAGTGCTGTAATTAAGGCATTAGCCACCATGTCTAGCACATCTTCATTTTTCATTCCATATCATCACTAGATCTGAGAGTGAGTGTCCAGACCAAGAGGACAAGCTAGGAGAGACCTAGAGACCAGTTAGCTCGGCACCATGCCTTTAACTGAGGACGGGAATCCAAAAATATAAAGCGGCTTGCCTCAAGTCACAAGGACCATAATGGCCATCATTGTGCTGGGAACCACTTCTCTAATATATGACCTCACTTAGGACTTGCCCCCTCCCAAGTTAAGAAGGTCTCAGTTCCAGCCAGCACCCTCTTGGAACAATATTTATGACTGAAGTTAGCATGAAAAAGTGATTTAAATTAAGAGCTATTTGAACTACCAGCCAAACTCTGATATATGGATTTTTTTTAATTAGTTGGGGGGCGTCCAAAATTATCCACCGTAATTCATGACAGTATATTCGAGCAGTATTGCATCTTTTGAAGAAGGGATTTACTCATGGTCTCTCAGGCTGAGGAATTCCAAAAATAGATAAAGATAGTTGCTACTGAGCTGTCTCAGAAGTGTAGCTCAAGAGACGCAACAACATCTAACCACCATATGGAAGAATGGGGGACAGTCATTCCTTAGGCTCCACCAGCCACGGGAGCCTCTATAATTCATCGGCCCTGTCAGAGCTGTGATATGAGAGAATGTTTGCAATGGCAATTGTGGGATTACTAGCTCCCATCAAAATGTAAGTCATACAGCAGTGCACAAACACTTCCACAGAAACTGTCCAGTCTCCACCATAGATCATTTCTGCTCTCTCTTTATTCATTTCTCTTCCCACCAATCAGCTCACTAGAGCGCACAGTACTTAGAGCATATTGCTATGTGTGCGTGTGTGTTTGCATGTGTGAGCCCTTCTGTTAAACATTTACACCTACGAAGCTGCGAATGGTCAACAGTGGGCTAATGGTTAACACCATCTGGGAGGCTTATCTCATGTGTAACTCAAAATCAACCGCTGGCAGACAGCCCTGCGCAGGAGCATACGGTGTGACTGATAATTTGAGTCTTTTGCGAGATCGAAGTGTCTGTGTTGGGAAGCCAAGGTCTGGGAAAGGAAGGAAGGCCTTTTCTTTCACACAACCCATTATGTGGTCCCAGGAGGTCCTGTAGGCGAATATTAACCACAGTGCTCAGCCGGCAACAGTGAAGCCTCCAACAACAGCCTAGCTTGGTTTAGGCAAGTTCTTGTTCACTGTAGCTGTCCTCAGGGTGAATGGAAACAAATGTCTTTAACTAGGGTAAATTCTCCTTTTCCCTCCAGGTGAAGAGATGACAAAACACCCAGAGTTAGAATGTGTCCAGCAATGGAGGAAAGGGAGGCAGGAGGAGATGCCTCAGAGCCTGCACACGCTCCAAAGCTGTGCGTGATTTGGAAAGCTGTGTTGTTACTTTGTTAATATTTATTGAATTTAACAATCCCTGGATGTCCCCAGAGGAGTCAACCTAGAGAGTGTATATGAGAACGGAACCTGAACGGTGGGAACACAAGTTCTCAATTGTTGAGGAAAGTCTTGCCTATTCCCCCAGCCCCCTCTCTGCAAAGCACTTTCTCTACCTTTTGTTTTAATATCCTTGTTATTTCTTTATCACAATTAATAATCTCCTTTGCATTTCTTTCTCCTAAGTGATTGCATCTCTAAGATTTTTCTGTAGAAGCAAAACCTTTGATTTTCTGTTCACTTCCCGAGTTTTCCATGAAAACCGAGTTTGCTATAGAGGAGTTAGCAGGGGTTCCAGGGATCTTACCCTCAGGTCCCAGCTGCCACATGACATCAAATATGACTCTACCTTTCCCTCAGCTGGCTTCCCCGGTGAGCCAGAGGTGGCCCGCTTCATGTGCTTTTCCAGCAGAGGAAACAGACTGACTGACCAAGAGAACAGTATACAACCCCACATAGTTTCCTGGAGCTCCGGGCTTTCCCTTGACAGAAGACAAAATGGGGATTGTGTGAGGAGAGGCAGGAGGCTCTTCAAGAAAGATCTGAATGGCTTCCACCTGGCCATCTGCAAAGGCTGGTCCAATGACATTCCTGCAGACTTATTCCATTCATAGCTCTGTGCTGGAGCCCTGGGGCCTCCAGAGCAATCTGAGGAGGGGGAGGGGTTTCTGTTGGGTCATTTCCTGACTAGAATATTGCCTGGGAACCTAGGGTGATGGAGGACACATGGTGATTTTACATCAAGGGGGAATGCTGCCTTTTTTGGCTACTGGGGCCAGGATGTATGTATTTTGAGCCCCTGCTTCCCTTACTACTGAATGATGGGTGTCCCTTTTTTTGCTCCTTGGAAAATGGTATTGAATGACAGAATGTGGTTACCTGCTGCTGTGTGCAGGCATGCATGTGTGTATTCTCAGAGTGTGTGTGCAGGCATGCATGTGTGTATTCTCAGAGTGTAGATGGAGATGGAGCATGTCCCGTTGTTCTGCATTTGCTTTATCAGAAGTGACAACGAGGATTGCTGGCATCCATCAGCAGCTTCATGGTGGCTATCAACTATCTGGGGAAGATTTCCAACAGAGGATTGTGACATGTTCAAAACAAATACCCCCACGCAACGGGGCTTATGGGTACTTTCCCATAATGCTTAGTCGGTTCTTCCTGACCAGTGGTTCAGAAGGGTTTGCCGGTACTTTTCGCGTCCTACCGAGAATCTCAACGGAAAGCATTCCTCTGTGGTTAGGATGAAAAAGCCCAACTTTTCCATATAACAAGTGAGATGACTGCAATAGCTAATGTTGAGTGTCCTCTTGACAGTGCACACCAGCCCTGGAGACAGGCCTCCTCCAGGCATGTCTGTGAGGGATTAGCTTGACTACATTAACTGAGACCGGAAGGTCAGCTCTGTTGGTGGCACCTTCCCATGGCTGGGATCCTGGGCTGGATGCACGGAGAAAGGGAGCCAAGGGCAGCATCCATCCCTCTGTTTCTGGATGTGATATGATCAACTCTGTCAAGGCTTGGCCAGTCTTCCCTGTGACGGAGGAAACCTTTGAACCGAAAGCCAGAATAAACCCTAAAG